GAAATCACTTAAATTTTACTAGTTTATACACCCAGTATTTACTGGACACCTACTGGGTTCCAGGTATTTTTCAGACTCTGGAGAATGAGGCTAGAATACACACACACACACACAAAAAAAGAGAGAGAGAGAGAGAGAGAGAGAGAGAGAGAGAGAGAGAGAGAGAGAGAGAGAAAGAAACAGAACCCGATTATCAGGCAGCAAATGCCATAGTTTAGAAAGTAGCAGGCCTGCCCCCTTGAGAGTCCCCTGTGCTCAGTGAGAGGAAAACAGAAGTGTGCACACAGGAGGGCAGTGCTCTGGTGTGGACTGAGCTAAGGGAGGGAGTCAGTTGGGAAGGAGCCAGGCAGAGGATGCTAGGAGCTGGTCCACACTGAGAAGTGCTTTGGAGACATGTTTATAGAGTAAACATCACTTGATACGTCCTAGGAGATGTGAAGGGGGTGGGGTTCAGACAGGTGACCCTTAGTTCATAGATGAGGAAACAGAGGCCATGAGAAATAGCTTGCTGCTGCCACATAGACTCTACACCACAGGGTCAGGATGTGAACTAGCCTCACACTAGGCACAATGCTGTTTCTAATCCGCCTTAGACCTTATTGTGTTGAGTAGATTTTTAAGGAGCCATGTGGCTGGTTGGGTCTCCATGGTCTGTCAGGCAAAACCAGAGACCAAGACCCAGATGACTGTTCCTTGATTGAAATTCTTCTAGGTCAGTGGTTCTCAACCTTCCTATTGCTGCAGACCTTTAATACAGTTCTTCATGCTGTGGTGACCCCCAACCATAAAGTTGTGTTTTTTTTTGTTGTTGCTATTTAGTAACTGTAATTTTGCTATCTGTGTTTTCTGATGTTCTTAGGTGGCCCCTGTGAAAGGGGTTTGAGAACCACTGCTCTAAGTGAAGAGCTAGGTGATCTTAGAGGATCTAGACTCTTCAGTGTCCACAAATATCTAGAGGGAAAAGTAGAGAAGGATTCCAAGGCTTCTGGTCTCTTCTAACATTCTAACCCACTTTATAGAGATATGAAATTGAGGGCTGCCATGCAGTTTGGTTATAGAGCAGGCCCTGGGTCCTACCCACCAGCACCACAAGTTTCAGAGAGGTATGAAATTGGACCCCCTTTTCAAGTCCTTACCCCAGAGATATCTGGGCTGCGATTCTCAGGAGGTTAGAGGTAAAATGCAACTAGATTTGTGTTTGATTCAAATCCACTAGTTCTATCATTAATTAATTAATTAATTAGTATAGACTAGTCTAAGAGAAGTTTTTTTTCCCCATTTGGGATATTAGGCAGTCATGGGACTCCTGTTGATGGAGAGTAGGCAGTTAGAAACTTGGACTTGACTCATTTCTCTTCTTTTAGGAGTTCTGGTATGGCAGGGAGGAAGATTTATGAAGATCGAAAACATGGGCACATGCAGAGCAGGGTTTCTCAACCTTGGTTGGACTGACATTTGGGTCACACAATCCCTTGATGTGGTGGTCTTTATGGAGCCCTGTAGGGCATTCCACAGCATTTTGGCCTCTTCTCAGTGATGACAATACCACCCTCCATATTTGTGTAACCAAAATAGCACTGGAGGAAAGACACTATACCTCAGCTTCTTTTCTTACGACTCTGCCCTGCTTCCTCTGGACCTCCCAGAAACCCTCTTCCTTTGAGTCCAGACCTCCATGGGGACTCAGGCATCTTTGTGTCTGTGACTGTCTCAGAAACCCAGGGTTCTCTTGAGTCCAGACCTCCATGGGGACTCAGGCATCTTTGTGTCTGTGACTGTCTCTGAAACCCAGGTTCCCTTGCTATAGAGAGCAAGCACATCAGTTTCTGTCAACAGGTGGGAGTTGGCTTTCGAATCCACCACTAACAGAGTTCTGTATCTAATGGCACATAGACTTGGTGTCTTAATTTGGGTTTGTATTGCTGTGAAGAGACACCATGACCACAGCAACACTCACAAAGAAAAACATTTAATTGAGGGACTTGCTTACAGTTTCAGAGGTTCAATCTATTATCATCATGGTGGGGAGCAAGGTGGTGTGTAGGCAGATGTGGTGATGGAGCTGAGAGTCCTACATCTTGACTCAGAGGCAACAGGAAGTCGACTGACAGCCACACTGAAAGAAGCTGGAGCAAAAGGGATCTCAAAGCCTGCCCCCACAGTGACATACTTCCTCCAGCAAGGCCACACCTCCTAATAGTGCCACTCCCTTTGAGGGCCATTTTCTTTTAAACCACCTCACCTGGGTAGCATGGCAGGTATAGTCTAGGTATACACTTCTGTTACAGATGAAAACCTCATTAAGTAATCATTTGCTTTACAGCTAGAAGAATAGACCTGAACAACACAAGGATGATTAGTGAGTAAAACTCCCCAGGTGTCACTTAGAAGTGAGGAAGCAGTGATTTTCTTGCCCACCCTCTGCTGGAACCTTAGCGAGCTTCTTGCTGAGTTTGCATATCTCTCTGGCCTCTGTGAGCTGTTAGGAACTTTTATGAGTTCACCAGCAACATTTAGAATGCTGTTTAAGAGTGTAAATACTCTGTTGAGAATATGCGGAGGGCCAGGGTGAGAAGAAAAAGCTACCCACCCTCACATATGAGTAGAAACGGTTTATATTTATAAAGTTCATTTTCCAGTGTGCTCAAAGTGCTTACATGAACAATGGAACTATTAGAATCTGAGCTTGTCAGTAGAGAAAAAGGAACAAGACATTAGGGAACTGTAAGAAAGTTTCACTGATAAACAGATTTTACCTTGGAGCCAGGATGGTGAAACTTCCATTTCTGCCTCTTCCCAGACCAAGACATAATATTTTATCATAAAAATTATGTTGAGTGGAAGGTAATTAAGAAGAAGCCCAAGAAAGGCTCTCTACCCCTTTGTTATTTGCCTATGGCTAATTTTTGTCCCACAGAATTTTGAGGCTCTGTTATGAGCACATGGCCCTTACTGATTACCTCTCCTTATCAACTGACATTTTTGCCATTATAAAATTTTCTTCATCTTTGGTAACATCCTCCACTTCCCTTTCTCTTTCTCTTCTCAGATTACCCACTCTTCTTTGGGGCAGAGCCTCACTATTATAGCTTAGTCTTCCCTTGAACATTCAGTCCTTGGATCTCTATCCCCAGAGTACTGAAACTAGAAGTGTGCACCGCACCAAAACTCACTTGAATACTTTTTTTTCTTCAAGTTTGTTTTGACTGATTTTTTTTTTAATGCTGAGTATCAAGTTCAGCACCTCATGCATGATATAGTGTATTCCAGGTCATCTTGGGCTACAATGTGAGACTCTGTCTCAAAAAAACAGAAATAAAACAAAACAAAACCTTTTCTGATGGTGAAGGCTTTCCCATGAGAACATGTCTGTTGAAAAGGATCTCACTCATCTCTCTCCTAAAAAGACAAGGAAACACAAGAAGCATATGGTGCGGAGCCCCAGTTCCTTCTCCATGGATATAAAGTACCCTGGATGCTGTGAAATCATCACATCTTCAGCTGTGCACAAACTGTAGTCTCATGTGTTAACTCTTCCATGGTCCTCTAGTAATCAACAGGAAGGAAAACAGGAGGATATTCCTCAGGGGAAAGTGGTACATACAGCACCATGATTTCAGAAGACTTGGGAAACCATCCCAATAAACACATTTTGGATTTTGAAGTCTCTCTACCTCCCTCTTTTTCCATCTATCTATCTATCTATCTATCTATCTATCTATCTATCTATCTATCTATCTATCTATCTATCTACCTACCTACCTATCTATGTAATCTATCATCCATGGTTTCATTTTTACTTGCCAAAATTTGGCCACTTAAAATTGCATTGTTACCTATAATTTCTTTTGGACAGTTGCTTTTCTAGATAAATAGTATATTTAGGGTGGTCATAAAACTGACATAGATGCTCTGCTATCAAATCAGACAGGCTGACTGTTTCAACAAGCCTGGTGGTAGTTTAATGTGGATGGTCTTTTGCCAGCTACCTGGATTCTCTGTCTTGAATTCTCTTCAGCAGCAAAAGTGAGGAGCACTGCACCCAGGGGGCTCTGTTCTTGTGAGAGCTGAAGAAGATACGTGTTAGGACCTAGCACAGGATCTCACCTGGGAGGGGTCCATTTCCTCCTTCTCTTTTGGCAACTGAAATTAAAAAGCCCATCAACTAAAGCAAATAGAGTTCCAGTGTACAAGAGAACTCCACTCTTCATATCCTTGCTGGCTTTGAACATGGAGAGCATAAGTTTCTTTTGTTCTCATTTACATTTCTTCAAATTAAAGATGTGGGCATTTTTCAGACACTCTTGGCAGTAGAGCACAAGTTTTCTGAAATGATTTCATTAAGAATTTGGAAAAGTTCATTTAATATTTTCTCTAGAAGTGTACATTCTGTGAGTTTATTTTAAAAATCAAAATGAATGTCAAGTAATCTGGGGTATGCTCAGAAATCTTC